CTCTACCATAGAGTTCTAAATGGTTGCGGAAGGAATTAATAATATGGTGAACTTCCTTGGACCTTGCTGTCCTGACTTCTTATTTAGATCTAAACCTTGCTGCTTACTCAATTCCTGGGCCTATTTAGGTTTTCCGTGAAGATCCTAGCATGTTTCACGGGTGTGTCGGGGTTTCTAGCAATGGGTGCACCATAGTTTGTCTTTTCCCTCCACCCTTTTTTGAAAGTCCCCCTTCTTAAAAGGATTTCCCCCACCTGTAGTAACATTCCCTTTTGTTGCCAACACAACTGCATCCCCTCCAAAACTGTTCATTAAATTTCTTCTACTTTCTTCCGATTGTACTAATGCATAAACCTCCTGGACAGATGGAAGATCCTTGCTGCCTAGGATTTGGACTCTGATGTATTCATATACTGGGTTCAAGGCATGGAGAAATGCAAACACTCTTTGTTGGGAAACAAGTTTCTTGTACGCTTTTGCATCTTCATCACACTTCCAGTCTACACTCTATTAGTGATCTAACTCCTTCCAGACGGAGGTCAAGTTTGAGTAGTACACAGAAAGATTCCTCTCCCCCTGTTTATAAGTGGATGATTCTGCTTGTAGTTGATAGATTTTTGCATAGTGACGCAGTTCAGAATAGGTTGATTTTGCCTGTTCCCAAATCTCATAAGCTGTTTCAGCTCACATAAAGTTCCTTCTCACCTGAGGTTGCATAAACACTAATGGCAGGACATAACCATTTTGTTTTCCTGGTTCCATCTGTCATACTCAGCACTCCCAGAATTAGGTTCTTTAGTTCTCCCATTTATATACCCTATCTTTCCCCTTGCAGTAATGTATAATTTGATCCCCCTCGACCATTCTAAATAATTTAAGCCTGTTAGTGTAGGGGTATTTCTATCTTTATACTTATGTTGAGGTTGCTGATCTGTAATATTATATTAGAACTAGTGTCCCTCACTTAAATAAGGGCACATGTGTCTTTTCCATTATATTAATAGTATAAAAACATGTTTGGCCGAATGGGAGAGTAACTTTTCCCTAATTCGAACCAGACTTTTCTTCTCTCTTTTCCTCTTTCTTCTTGACTGTTATTAGACTAACAGAACTCAAAGGCAGGCCGAATTATAACATGGTATCAGAGTTCAACTAAGCAACTCGGATTTGCCCAGATATTTGTTCTCTACGCACTCAATCTAGGGTTTTCCCTTGATTTCTCTGCCATCGATTGGAGATAAGGGAAAGGGCTGAAAAGGAGTGGTCGCCCTCATCCCTTGGAGGTTTCTATGCCTCCAGTTGTGACTTGTGTGGTCGGTTGCTGTGGTTTCTAAGAAGCCCTCCCCTAATCGATGAAGAGAAGAGGGCTGATTCGTGTGGTGTAGTGGGTGTCTTGTGTGGACTGATTTTCTTCTCGTGTGATTTGTCTTTCAACTGATGAGGTAAGAGATTTCTGTGCATATTTTCTGTTATGAATCAAATAGGAATTATGTTTCAGATCGTATGATGAAATTTCAGACTGTAGTGTGCTAGGTTTTATGCTGTTTTTTTTTTTTGTGTGATTCGAAGGAGTGGTGCTCATATAGTGGTGAGATTTCAGGTAGTCGTAGGGTAGGGTTTGTGGTGTAAAGAGTACAATCTTCAGCAATAACAAGTGCTGAAACCAGTGTGATTGGTGTGATCAAACAGTGTGCAATGTGCCGAATTCAGTGATAACAGAATTCAGCAATGGGAGATAACAGTGATAGCAAATCTAATGTGATGATACCTACTAACTACCTGAATAGATGGTTCCGGCAAAAGGGTACTCCCAAATCTATGGTATTGACTACACAGAGATCTTCTCCCCAGTTGCTAAGATAGGGTTGGTTCGTGTTGTGATCTCTCTTGCAGCTATGTATGATTGGCCCCTATATCAGCTTGATATCAAAAWTGCCTTTTTGCATGGTGATTTGCTYGAGGAGGTCTACATGGAGCAACCACCAGGGTTTGTTGCTCAGGGGGGGGATGGTAAGGTATGCAGACTAAAGAAGGCTATATATGGGTTTAAACAGTCTCCTCGAGCATGGTTTGGTAGGTTCAGTGAGGTGGTAAAGAAGTTTGGTATGAATCAGTGCCAAGTTGATCATTCCGTCTTCAGTCATGACTCTCTGGTAGGAAAACTACTATTGGTGGTGTATGTAGATGATATTGTTATTACCGGGAATGATAAAATGGGCATTGACAGGTTGAAGACTTTTCTATAGGAACATTTTCAAACAAAGGACCTTGGTAAATTGAAATATTTCTTGGGGATAGAAGTAGCAAGGTCTANCCCTGGTCGTGGTTTGATATACAAAAGTGGTGGAACACTTGAAATAGAAGGGTATATTGATGCTGACTGGGCTGGTTCTATGTCTGATAGGCGGTCTACCACARGTTATTGCACTTTTTTGGGGGGTAATCTGGTGACATGGAAAAGTAAGAAGCAGACAGTCGTGGCAAGAAGCAGTGCAAAGGCAGAATATAGAGCTATGGCATATACTGCTTGTGAATTAGTGTGGTTGAGGAACCTTCTACAGGAGATAGGATACAACATTA